TCCTTGAAGAAAACCAAAATTCTGAGAGTTTTTCATTCACAGGGGGAGAGAGAGGCTAAACCTATCGGCGATGTAACTGAGGAGGCTATCTAATTTACGTACACTAATTAAGTTCTCATGGTAATTAAAATAGTCAGGACCTCCAATGGAACACTGAGGACGAACATGAAGGAGTTTAAAGGCATACAACCACTCGCCCACTTCTCTCTGGAACACTGAAAATAATAACACTGAAACTACAAACACAACACATTAGAGAAACAGAGGACGAACATGAAGGAGTTTAAAGGCTCACAACCACTCGCCCACTTCTCTCTGCATTGTACAGAAATCTTCGAATCTCTAGTCCGAATCGGATCCGTCATCATCAGACCCTCCGCTATATATTATTTCGAATATCTCACCGGATAAAGTAAATAATCATCGAGAAAGTCATTGGGGTATCTAAAATCCTTGATCCCCTTGGAACATCGCTTCTCTAGATTCCCGTCAAGGTTAACGTTGAGACTGTGGCGTAAATCAAGGTGTACCAGGTGAGGACAGCTGTCGAGAATGGCGGTTAAGCCGATGTCTGTAAGACAGTTCCCAAGAAGCCGGAGGTGGCGTAGTTCAGGCATGGTTTCGGCGATTCGTAGGGCATCGGCATCCAAATTGAAGCGAGAGCGCCTGTAACCTAAACAGTAAAGCTTCAATGTCTTTAGCCGTGGACAAGCATGGCCTATAGATTTCAACTTCAGTTTCCGCCATGAGTATAAGACCTCGAGCTCCTCAAGCAACGCAAGTTTTGCGACTGCTTTCACTAGTCTAATGGGCGACATTGGATAGCAGAATGTAAGTCCAAGGCTTCTCAAATTACTTGATCTGCAAAGCAAATAACTAGTTTAGATCATAAACTAAGTCCATGTTTCTTTTTCATAGCACTGCTCAACTTAGAGGCATATAACAACAATCTTAGAATCATAGTCGCTTCCTACTTAAAACTGAACAGCAAGGAATCAAGTGTTACGAACAATGCCTTGGCTAACTTTGTACATTCATGAGACGAAAGATCAGACTCTACAAGCTGAAGACCTTTTCGATATAAGTGTGATGAGAGTGACGATGTGAAACAAGACAATGCCCGATCAAAAGAGTATGTTTACAGAGTTATAGCAACGATGTGAAACAAGACAGTGCCAGAACAAAAGACTGCTTAAACAGAGTTATAACAACAGTGGCTTCAAAATAAGACTCGTAAAACAGACACGACATCTATGTTAAACAGAGTTTGACTCGTAAAACAAATAGAGACACAACATCCTTCTATCTAACTATGAAACTTCTCAGACAAGACATAAAGGGATGGAAGCCATCTGTGTTTGACGCTACGTATTTAACATCTTATGTCAATTGTCAATTTTCTTAATCTCAAACGTAGCAGACTAAATCAAATACCAAAACAATCAACTTGCAAGGAACCAACACACATTCCTTATCACTCAAGTCAACGCCAATTATCAAATTAAGAAAAGGAAAATGAGAAAGAGAACCTATCGGCGATGTAGGCGAGGAGAGAATCGCTCCCGAAGCCCTCAATTCTTATCTCCAGCAAGCCGCCCTGGCTGCGGTCGACGGCGTGACGGCACATGGCCTCGAAGTCGTACTTCATGGTTGTTTCCAAGCGTTTCATGTGAATTTTCCGCCACATCGACGGGTCTTTACAGAGGCGTCGCCACGATCTGCAAACCTTCTGAGCGTTGTCCAGTATCTCAGCCACGCTAAGTCGTACCAGAATAAGAGACGTCAGCTCCGGCGGAAGCTCCGACCAATTACAATATCTTCCGTTCTTCATCACTGGAGGCAAAGACGAAGGCGGCAGCGAAGAGGAGGAACGAAGCAATTTCTGAGGGTGAAATTGTAAAATCAGTGAAATCAGAAGTGCAGTACGGTTTCCGTTTCGAACCTGTCGGCTCTTTTCTAAATTACAAATCTACTCCTCGTAGCGAAATATATTTACGATTACAGTTTGTTCAGCCAGTTATATAATAAGCGGCCCAATACTCGAATCAACTATTGGGCTAGGCTCATAATATTCACGTCTCCCGAGATGAAACCACGCGTTAAAACGTTTCACAGCGTATGGGCTTCCAAATTCAGTCATTTGATTGAGCGAGCAGAGGTATTGAAGCAATGGAAGTTTCGTGTGGAGTTAGAAACATGAATGTAAGAGATAGAAGAGCAGCAACATCATGCAAAAAGAAGATCATTGTGAAATTTTAATATAATGCACTTAATTGTTGTTTAAGAGCAAGGAATGGGTCAAAGATCCCGAAGCTCCATTTAAAGGATGTGCAATACAAATTTTTAAGTGTAGTATTTTAACAAAATAAATTAATAAAAAGTAAGAAATAGAAAAAAAGGATCAGTTTTTAATTTTTTTTATTTAAGAAATAATTTTAAATTTTAAAGAAACTTATTTAATGTGTATATCTTAGAGGATGATTAATGGAGAGATTCTAAGAAATTCTGAAGTATAAAAGAAAAGAAAAAAATAAAACAAATATGAGATAATACCAATTTTTCTTTGAATGACTCTAATAGTAGAAACTGTAGAGATGATCCTGTACAAGTTTTGTACAGGTGTTCTCATTTTATACCTTATAATTTTTTTTTTGAATTTTTTTTCTCTTTTATCTTTTACTATTAAAATATAATTAAAAATTTCAATCAGAGGTTCTGCATTACTCATACTCATATGATTGGTTTAGATTTTTTATAATTTAAAAATTAATACTTTTTTTAAGATATGTTTTAAGATTTTTTAGCATTGTACATGTTTTTATAATCTTGGAAACAAACACATCCACAGTGTAGTGAGATTTTTTGTTTGATCGACTCTAACCAAAATTTTGATCTACTTGAGGGATCGAATGTCATTTATAAATTCGTGAAATAAACCTACTTGTGTGCTCGAGAGTTATCCTGTGATGATACCCATTCAATGTTGATGTCAAATAGTACAAATTAACATACATTTCCTCCTAATCCTCACACAGAAAAGGCATTTCAGAACAAACATATTCTATCACTCAAACGACTGAAATATTTTGTTTATCAAATTAGCATATATCCCTTTTTAGAAACAAATCTATGTTATGTAGACAACATTCGTAAATTTACTTGAAAACATACAAAACTGTGTGTGTACGAGTTTTAGGTGAGGAGAGAATAGGTGCCAAAACGTTTAAGGCTGAGAGCAACGGCGTGATCTAAGGCATATAAGGACAACAAAATAAGATGCAAAATACCCATTAGAAAAAGAAAAACAATACACCATCGAATCGTTTTAGCGAGTTACACGAAGCTTATTAAAAGTTCAAATGAAATAAGGAGACAGAAACTACGAAAATATTAGAGAGAAAGAGGACATGAACGAGTCCATAAACTGTCAAGACCGGCAAAACAGCCCGTCTCTGCACTGTTGAGAAAGACTCAACATCTAGTCGCTATATTCATAGTAGACATCAACATCGCCGTCATAATCATCTGAATCAATATCGTTAAAAGCGACAACAAATGGACAATCAGCGGTTGAATCATTGGGACGTCTGAAATCTTTGACTCTCTCCAAACATCGCTTTTCCAGATCCTTGGAAAGGTTAATGTTTAAACACTGGCGTAAATCAAGGTGTTCCAGGTGAAGACAACCGTCAAGAATGGCTTTCAACCCGGTGTCAGTGATTCTGTTCCCAAGAAGCTGGAGGTGGCGTAGCTCCGGCATGCTTTCGGCGATTGCTAGGCCATCAACATCATCAACTTTGATTAGAGAGCGCTCGTAACCTGAGCAGTTTAGCTTCAACGTCTTTAGCTTTGGGCAAGAATAGCCTATAGCTTTCAGATTCAGATTTGTCCGTGAGAATGAGACCTCAAGCTCTTCAAGCAATGGAAGTTTTGCGACTGCGTCCACAAGTCCCTTGTTCGTTATTGTATAGGACTTCTCAAGTCCAAGGCTTCTCAGTTGACTTGATCTGCAGGTAAATGCATGTAGAGTTAACTAATAAAGGTCTCATACTACTGATGATCTCAGAAGCATGTAACATGTGACAAAATATCAAAATCTAACGATGCTTAAGTAAGTTTATGATAGAGTTCGATAAAGGGATGTTCTTCTTCTGGTAATAACCTAGTATTTCTTGTTTTCACTAGGCAATATGTGAGAACAAAGAACTGTTTTATAACAACAACGACTTCAAAAAAAAAAAAAAAAAACAAGCGTGTGTTTTCTGTCTTACTCCCTAGGGTTTTCCAAACCTAGTATAAATTTAATATCATGTAAACCGAGAACTCTTGAAATGGAATCAAAGAAATATGCAGTCTTCTTCTCTACTTTATCAAAGTTTAAATCTTGCGTTCAGAAAGTATATCAAGTAAATTGACATTAAATCATCTAAATATGAAAAAAATAGATCTAAATGAAGAACTGAGAGCAAATGAACACATTGAAAAACAAGTGAAATTCAAATTAAGGCCAGGATTATCATAAATAAATAACATTTACATAATTCCTTGAAAGTTGAAACGAATAAAAAGTAGTAGCGTGCTTGCGAGTGTTAGGATATAGAGAGAACAACCTGTTGGCGATGTAGGTGAGGAGAGATTCGCTACCTAAGTCGCCAATGTTGATTTCAACCAAGCCGCCGTCGCTGCGATCAACAGCTTCACGGCACATGCTACGGATGAAGTACCTAACGTGATCGACATTTCCTAGGTTTCGCATGTCGATTTTCTTCCACAACGAGGGGTCCTTAGAGACTCGGCGCCACGGCATGCAAACTTTCTGAGCGCTTTCCAGTATCTCAACAAGGCTAAGACGGAGCAGAATCGAAGCCGTCAGTTCCGACGGGAGCTCCGCTCAGTTTGTAGGCTCTTCGTCTTTCATCAGCGGAGGTGAAGAAGACGAAGAGGCCATTTCTGAGAGTGAATATCAAAGAGACTCAAAGTCAGTGGAATATATATAAGAGATGAAGTTTCAGAGACCTTTCGGTTTCCGTCTCTAATTATGAATATAATAATCCGTGCCAAGTTTATTAATTAAGCACAACAATTGATTAATACTTTTGGTTCACATTCGGTGTTAATTTTGTTTTAGATTAGAAAAAGAAGAAAAAATAGAGCGTGAAATGAGGCAAGACAGATAAATTTAGTTGAAGGGAAACGTCGAGCCAAAACGGTCAAAACTAAAATGATTGTCCACTAATTACGCCTTACAAAACAACCATAATTTTCGTATTGTCCAAAACTTCCAACATCTTCCTTGTTCATCAATTTTTTTTTTGTCTGATTGATTCTCTCCAGACAAAATATGAGCCGGCTCCGAGCATTTTCTTTGCCGGATTTAGTTCCGTCTGATTCTGGTTCTATTACATCACCAACAAGAACCACCGAGCATCAACCTCATGAAGACTCTGGTTTAGAAGGTAATATTTTTCATATTCATCTAATTATCTTCTTTTTTTTGCTTTTCCTCGAATTTGATTTACGTCAACAAAGATCGATTTCTAGGTTTTTATTTGTCAGCTTTCTTTCCGGACAAAAAAAACGATGATCTTGAAAGAGTTTGTGACTTGCGTTACAAGAAATATGTTAAAACGTGTTCTTGGTTAACTTCTTTCTGAAGGAATCTCTACGAACGTGAAGCTACTTTTGAAGCTCGTTCAAGATCACAACGAAGCAACCTCGAAGCAACGCGATGATTGGAAGGCGCAGAGAGTCAACACGATGATGACGATTCTCGACGATTTGAAGGCTAGAATACAGAAAGCTCAACAACAATCATCGTCAGGGAAAAAAGAGCTTAGACGATGCAACACAGAGCTGAAACCTCGTCATGATCTGAACAAGAATCCTATGAAGCCGCCACAGAACGATCCGGATGATGTTCAGAAGCTGAGAAGAGAGCTAAGCGCAAGCATAGCTGCAAGAAAGAGTCTTCAAATGATGTGTTCAAGTTTAGGGAAAGAGAAAGAGATAATGGCTGTAGAGCTTTCGAGGAAAGCTCACGAATTGAGCGGAATGGAGGAGCTTATAAGTGATCTCAGGGCTCAAAATGAGAAACTACTCAAGAAAGTTCAGAATTGCGCTGTGGAGCACAATAAGGAGAAGAAAGGAGATGGTGATGGTCAAGGAGATCACAAAGACGCGTCTCTTCAGGGAAGAAACAAAGAGTTGTCTGAACAGCTTCTCAAATCCATTGACGGATACCGTTCTCTGAAAAGGAGATACAAAGATGTTCAAGAGGAAAATGGATCGATAAGACGAACGCTTAGAGACTCTGCAGAAGAAGTGAACGCTGGTACTCAGAGACTAACCGAGTTGCGTGAGAAGATCACGAGAGAAGATGAAATGAATCTTCAGGATGAGATCTCAGATTTAGAGAAGTTGTTTCAAGGGTTTAACTTAAAGATATCGAACCATTCCCAGAAAAAGTAAAGAAACAGAGATCTCATTTTTTTGCAACAATATTCATCAGATTACCAATCATACAACTTTTGAAAATTTTCAGTAGAATTGGTAACACAAATTTTGACACTATAGTCTTTCCTTTTTTGTAACTTTGGATTTAGCAATTTGCTCATAGGTTTATTGGAAGTCTTAATCCGTCATGTGAAAGCTGCACATTGATTCCTTCCCTATAAATTAACAAGAGTCCATTAGCTTTTCACCACAGATGTGGATTTGCATCGAAATGATATAACATTGTTTCAATGCGTACCTTAGAGACCATTCTGCAAGTATCTCATTGTATTCATGGTGATCAAACTCATGTGTCATACCCGTTAGAAGCGCTCTCTTTGGACAGAGCCTCTTTATGATCTCAAGAGCCTAAAGAACAAGAACATATTGAAAGCTTATCTCTCAAGGCGCAGAATATTGAAACATTATTTGACAAATGAAGAAACACATTCGAACAAACCTCAGGAAAACAGATGTGTGTAGGATTTGGCCCTCTCTATTGTCAAGGAGATGGTCAGCGACAGAAAGTCCTCAGGAAAAAGCAAATATTTATAAAAATTTGTAATACCTTCCTCGGTATATTTGTATCCAGGATAAGAAGATCTAACTGTCCAGCCCCGGCTTTGGAAATAGCTGCATAGTCAAAGATTCATGAGGAAGACCAATCTTATACTGACTTGTGATTTGAAATGATTCAGGCAGAAGAAACATTATAAACTCTTACCAAACTCGGTACTAGGTGGGATGCGTGATACATCTGATATATAAGCCACTTTACTTTTATCACCGAAGAGGAAACCTAAAGCAATGTAATCCTCTCCATGCATCACCTGAAAAGCAAAACATAGAGTCTTAAGGGACTAAGATCTCAGGGAAGAATCATACTGTGTTGATCTACTCAAAAGTCGGAAAGAAGTTTAACAGGAAGAGGCGTGAAAGATAAGCCTGAGGCAATGAATGGTTTGTCACAATCCTCTTCGATGACTCTCCAGTCAAGCTGCGAAACCCGCCTTGGTACTTCTTTAACCTTCTTTTCAACCAAATAAGGAAACCTCGTAGAAATACTGCACATAAGTGGCATGAAGTCTCATAAGAGAACACTAATTGAAAACGGAAAAGCCTAAAGTCTTTTACCTTTCCATTGTAAATTGAGATAGAAAGACAGGAACTGGATTGGTGTCAATGGCTGAACCACGCGGTTGAATAGACCGTATATCATCTAGGCCGTGAATAGCGTCCGCGTGCTCATGAGTTAGAATGATCTACAAAAATTCATACAATGTTAGATTTCATTTTTGACAATAAAGAAGTAAGAAATCAAGAAGAGATTATAGAAAAGGGCTTTACAGAATCGATTCGGGGAATCTTGTAGCAGGTAAACCAGCGAAGGACTTGCTCTCTGAAACTCTTCCCAACATCAATGAGTATGTAATAATGTTTATTATCTTCTTTCTCGCAGCAATAATCGATCAAGAGCGATGTATTGCATCTGCTAAAATCAGATGCATTAAGATTCAAGAATGCATTAAAGAAGATCAAAAGGGGTTTGTTAGAGCCATCAATTGAAACCTTTTCTGATCAAGAACCCTAGAAATTGGTTTCTACATAATTCACCTAAGATCGCTTAAACCCTAGTTTCCAAGAAGAAGAAAGACAAGATTTTTGGGACAGAGAGAACAAAAGATGGCTCTTTTTTTCAATCAAGTATTCCCAATTTCAAAAGGGTCGTATACGGACAACAACAAGGTTTTACATCTCTCAATCTCCACAGCTTAAAAGCCAAAACACCAAAACGAAATCGATGTCGGAAAGAGACAAAATTTACCTGTAATTAGGGTTAAGGTGAGGTAGTAAAGAGAGTGACTGAGAGCAGACATGGCAAGGAGGATCCGACGGCTGAAGTAAGCATCTGAAATCGGGAACTGCGCCGGAGCAACCTGTTCCGAGAAAGACCAGAGCCGTTCGATCATCATCAAATTCATTTTTCTCCATCCTCAAGACCCCGATCTTTCTGGTCTAGCCAAAGTTGACTTGATTGAAAGCCAACGGCTATATGTTTGTTTATTGTATTAGTTGAGATTTTGAGATCGCTGAGACAGAGGTACAAAGAACCAGAGTTGTTGTCTTTTTCCTTTTAGTTTTTTTATTTAATTTTTATTAGAAACAAAAACTCAATATAAATACCCTTTTTGGTAAATTGTGAGATCATCATATTCATAACTTAATTTAACGTATTTTGTGAATAACATTGAATCATCTTTATTCTTTACTAAATTTTTCTATCAGCATAAAATTTTATATATTACATTGATATTTGTATTAAAATAAAATCTGTAGTTTTGTCATAATTTCTTCCAGGTCTAATTTATTTTAGCTAAAACATTTTTATAAATTAATTAAAAATGGATGTATCTGAATTTATTTGAACAAATTTTATAAACATATTCTGATAAAAATCTCTCATTAGAATCCAATCACCCAACATTATCTAGAAACCAACATGAGAAAAAAAAAAATTAAAATTGAGCTAAACTCACCCTAATGCTCAAACTACAAATTAGCCCTTTGTCAAAATACAAATGTTCAAATTAAAAGAAAATTAAAAACAAAATTTACTGAAAAAAGGAAATATAATCCAAACACATTGACCAAAAATTTAATTTCCAAACACAATGAAAATATATGTGAGTTGATTTTTAAACTAATCAACTATTAAAATTATCCAAATATTAAAACTAATCAAATTTACCTATATTTTGAACTAATCAAATACTAAAATTGCTCGCTTGACTTGCTGACTTGCTTTTTGTTCTTTCTTTTGTGGAGTCAGATAATGGACTTAGCAAAAGGGCATAATATCAGATGATTGGGGTTATAATGATCTAGTGGTTATAACATTTTAACTTATGCTCTTTATAATATCAGTCTCTTTATGTCCTGTTATTATGATTCTTAGCACTTGACCGTACCATCTTATTTATTATTTACAAAACAATATATTTTTGGACTTTCGGGAAATTTTCTCACTCCTTTGAGACAAGAATTAGCTTTCATTTGGACTGTTTATTTAAATTTGGTGTTTCTTGACTTTCACCTCTTCAATGTTGCATTAGTTTGTTTGTTTTAGAGCTTTGTCAATATTGTACCATATTAGGGATTGAATAGACGGTTTTATGAAACTCATGTATATAGTTCCATCAAATACTCCAGTAAACGGAGGAACGAGCAGTAATTTATAAATGTCATAAAGGAATTGAAACATGACTTCACATAGACTTCACAATTCCAAAATATTGCAGATGCCACATGGTTTTCAAGAATTTCATCATTTGTGAAAAAAATAAATAAATAACTACCAAAATGGCCATAAAATATCAAAATTACGTTTCATCATTTCAAAGAAGAAATTCACAATTCCAAAATATTGCAAATGCACACACAAAATGCACACAGTTTTCCAAGAGTGAGAGTGGCCAGAAAATATCAAAACTACATTCTTTTGGGAGCGATATCTTGAAGGCGACTAGAACATTCCCTGTTCTAGAGTTCATCCTTTTGACTCATTCAAATTCCATCCAGTAAATCTGGTTTAAATCTTTCTTTCCATTATATCTTTCTCTCCTTCATCCTCTTCTCCCTTTCTCCTCTTCATTTTCCACTTTCCAATGGCCTCTCAAAGTACTCCCGCTGCACAAAGAGAGCTATGGAAAGCGTTTCAAGGGTTAAAGCTTGGATCGAATAAAGTCGCTTGAGCTGTACATGAGGATGCCCAAGACCAATTCGAAAAAGATCATCGACTATGTTTAGTGGTCCAAGGCCTCAATCCAGAACATCAGAACCCTACTAGCATGAAAATTACTCTCCTAAAGGCATGAAATTTGGTAGGCAAAGTAGCAGGACAAGTCAATGATGATGGAACCGTTAATTTCTACTTCAGATCAGAGCATCATCTCCTCACAATTCTTGAGAATGCGCCATATACGTTTAAGGGATGGATGGTGGTTATTGATCGATGGAATCGTCGTGAACTACCAACGTTTCTGAAGATTATCCCCTTCTGGATTCGAATTGAGCATCTTCCTAATATATATCGAAGGGAGCAAATCGTCAAAAGCATTGGCTCTAAGCTTGGTCAGGTGGAGGAAGTGGAAATTACAGAGCCGACAGCTATTCGCCCTGCAGAAGTTTGGGTTAAGGTCCGGTTCAATGTAGATGACTAGATCACTCTTGCGAGGGCTGTTCAACTTAGGAGTAATGAACCCCTAGTTGAGCTGGAATTCCGCTATGATATTCTGCAGAAGTTCTGCACCAATTGTGGTAGTTTGAAGCATAGCTTCGATGTTTGCCCCCATCCCCCTAATCCAGAAACTCAAAGCTTACAGTTGATTTAACTTGACCCTGTGACTCCTGCTAGAGACTCGTCTGTTGATACAATTCCACCATCGTCGGCTTTAACTACTGGTCAACCTACTGCACTTTGTCCTTCTGAGGTTACCAGTTCTATTCCGATGCTTCCCTCATTACCAATGTTACAGCCTGCTTCTCCTGGTCAAGCAGAGACATCATCTCATATGGAAGTAGGCGCTAAACAAAAGATGCAAGAATCTGAAGCTGCTTCATCTTCTCTCTCGACTAAGCGACAAACCCGAGATCCATCTGATGTGAAAGGGTTGGTGGTTCCCTTAAAACCACCAGTAGAACAATGAAGCTTTTGCACTAGAATTGCCAAGATTTAAGGAGCGACATGACAATTCCGCGACTCAAGGATATTATGAAGTTTTCTAAACCTGATATCATGCTCCTTGTAGAAATTAAAAACGGCGATAATGTTGTAGCTAATGTAGCAAAAGATCTAAACTATGCTCATTGTATTATAGTATCTCCGACTGGGCTTAGTGGTGGCATGGCTATTTTTGGGATGATAATGTTAGTGTTAAGTTTTTGTCTCAGCCTGCTCTTAATCGTACGGATATGTATGTCACGGAAGGAGCTTCCACCTTTTGGTGTTCTTATATATATGGAAACCCTGTTAAAAAGTATCGAAATTCTATGTGGCTTTCTTTGATTTCTGATGCAAATGCAGGCTACTATCAAGATAAACCATGTTTACTACTTGGAGATTTCAACGATATCATCTCTAATGACGAAAAGAAAGGTGGTCCTCCCAGGTCAGAGAGCACCTTCTCTCTTTTCCATAATATATTGTCTGTTTGAGGTTTACATGACTTAAAAAAATGGGAGGAAAGTACACTTAGGCTGGGATCAGACATTCGCATACTATCAAATCCAGAATTTTTCGCGCTCTTGCTAATTGTCACTGGTTTGATATGTATCCTACAGCTTATGTGCAACTACTACCTTGGCTTGGCTCGGATCATTGACTTTTCCTTCTTCACACTGATCTTTATCGCCAAGGTGGATACAAGTTGTTCTGTTATGACAATAGGTGGCAGCATCAATGGGAAGTCAGGTAGCTGATAGCTAATACTTGGAATACTCATTAATCTACAATTCCTCCTGCTGCTTTCAGTAAAGCTATATAGCTAAGTGTCGGGTGGCATTATCACGTTGGAAGAGCACCAACATTCAGAATTCCCAAAAGAAAATAATGGAGTTATGAGATCGCCTTCATTCTGCTTATGAGGCTCCTCAGTTGGACTATAATCTCATTAACCATTTAAAGTCTCAACTGCAGGAACAATATAAACTCGAAGAAGAATACTGGAAGCTGAAAAGTAGAATCTTATGGCTGCAAGTGGGGGATAAAAATACTAAGTATTTCCATGCAAAAACAAAGCAAAGGTGAGCTTTTAACAGAATTTTACATGTGAAGAATGAAGCAGGTCAATACTTCTATAAACCTGAAGATGTTCAACAGGAAATACATCATTATTTTGTGACTCTGTTTTTTTCTAATGGCTGTGATATTGAGCAGGAACTCCTTGATGGTATTCCTACAACAGTCACTGCTGAAATCAACTGTGAGCTTACCCGCCCTGTTAGTGAAGAAGAAATTAAGAGAGCAGTTTTCTCTATCAATCCAGATAAGTCACCGGGACCAGATGGTATGACAGCTGGCTTTTATTGGCATCATTGGCAAGCGATTAAGCAAGGTCTATGCTCTTTTGTCCAGCTTTTCTTTAAAGGGAATTATTTAGATCCTGATATTAATCACACCCATATTTGCTTAGTTCCTAAAGTACATTCACCGAACATGATTAAAGAGTATAGGCCTATTAGTCTTACTAATGTTACATATAAAATTATCTCAAAAATTTTAGCATAAAGGATGAAAAGATGGATGCATTTAATTATTTCGGATAATCAATCTGCTTTCATTCCTGGTAGACTTATCACGGATAATGTTCTGATTGCTCATGAATTGCTGCATTCACTGCATACTAAGCATCTTTCTAAGGATTACATGGCTCTAAAACTAGATATCACTAAAGTCTTTGATCGTGTTGAGTGGCCCTTTTTAAACGTTGTTATGCAGCAAATGGGTTTCAATGCTCAATGGTGAGGATGGATTATGCAGTGCATTACTACGGCTTCTTACTCGGTGCTCATCAATGGGGCTCCCTTGGATAAAATTCTTCCTACTTGTGGTCTGCGTCAGAGTGATCCTATTTCCCCTTATCTATATCTCATTTGTACTGAAGGTTTATCTCGCCTTATCAAAAGCAGAATTCAAAGGCAACAGATTCATGGATATAAGGCATCTCGGTGTGGTCCATTAATTTTGCATCTTTTATTCGCTGATGATTCTTTGCTTTTCTGCAGAGCCTCTGAAGATGAATGTTGTAATCTGTTGAATATTCTTTCTGTTTACCAACGAGGTTTGGGCCAAGAGATTAATTATACTAAATCTGCTATTACCTTCAATAAAGGCACCCCTCATAATGTTCAACAAATGATACTTCACCAAACAGGTATACAGAAGATATGAGGATTAGAAGGTACCTTGGTTTACCAGAGCAAAATGGTCATAAGAGGGAAGATGTATTCCACTATATTATGCAGCGAGTCCAAAACAAAGTGGATAGCTGGTATAACCGATACCTTTCCCACACAGGTAAATAGGTTTTACTTAAAGCTATAATTACTGCCTTACCTGCTTATACGATGTCATGCTTTATGCTTCCACAAGGTATCCTTTCTAAACTTACCTCAGTAATGCGTAGCTTCTGGTGGTCTGGAAGTAAAGGCCAGCATAAAATTCCCTGGGTCCCATGGAATAAAATTACTGCATCTTAGAAGGAAGGAGGTCTAGGCATACGAGATCTACACAACTTTAATTTAGCTTTATTAGCGAAACAGGCTTGGCGCATTATACATTATCCTACATCGTTGCTAGCCCGAGTCTTCAAAGCTAAATATTTTCGTCATACAGGTTTTCTTGACACGAAATGTAGCCCCACATCTAGCTATGCATGGAGGAGTATTTTACAAACTCAACCGTTAATACAAACTGGAAGTCGATGGCTTGTGGGCACAGGAGATCAAATTCATGTCTGGAAAGACAATTGGTTACCAACAATGCCTCCTCGCCCACCAAATCCCACGCATGTTGCTATTACTCATAATCTTAAGGTTGCTGATTTCATTAACCCAACTTCTTGTGAATGGTCTTATGATAGTTTGTCAACTTTCCTAGTCCCAGAAGATATTCCATTGGTTATGCAAATACGACCAAGTGTTTCCTCCGCGCGTGATGTACTTACTTGGTTATACACTACCACTGGTCAATATGCTATTAAGTCTGGTTATTACCTTCAAAGATAGATCACAACAGCAAGTTCTTATGCAAACCAGAACACACCAATATCGGCAGAAGCTAAACAGGTTTGTCAGTATTTATGGAAGATAAAAATTCTACTGAAACTTCGTCTCTTTTGGTCGCGTGTAATACATAATAGTCTACCAGTAGCTGACAATCTACAAAAAGACAATTGATAAAAGATCCTAGCTGCCTGTTTTGTGCTGATTATGTTGAATCTCTAAATCATTTTTTGTTTCAGTGTCGAGTTATAAAAGAAATATGGGAGTTAGCTACTGCTACAATGTTACAATCTGATTTAGTTCTGCAGAACTCTCTCCTATAAAATCTACAGTTATGGTTAACTTGTCTAAATCTCATGGAGCTGAAACACTTATTTTTTTCCTAGGTTGGCGAATATGGAAGATAAGAAATGCCTTGATTCCAGAAAAAGAGGGATCATATTACACACACTATTCGGATGGCTTTTATAGATAAGCAGCAATGGGAAGAAGCCATCAATGCAGATTTGCAGTCTTCTGGTATCATAGTCCCTTCTCTGCCAGTGGATAGTCCTGCCATTAATGACATACTTGATGAAAGCTCTGAGTATTACTCTCTTGTTGATGCGTCTTGGGTCTCTGCTTCTCAACGTGCAGGTATTAGATGGTCCTTATTCAGTAAAGAAGGCATCCAACTGCTCAAGGGAAGTGCCTCTATCCCCCCGACGCAAACTGTACTGGAAGCGGAAGCTCAGGCTTTACTAATGGCTACTCAACACCTTCATGTTTTTGGATATCCTCATGTAACTTTTGTGGTGACTGCAAAATGTTATATGAGCTCCTGCAATCTTATAAGGGAGGTACGCAATCGGATGCCTCTACAGTGCCTTTATTACATGGCTCCTCTAGCTTGTAACCTTGTTTATTAATAGAAGTAATATCTTTGCCGACAAAAAAAAAAAGAAGTATCCATTGTTATTCCCCATGCATTCTGACCCACCAGGATATCAACTCCATATGTCATTCTACCTCTCGCAACAACAATCATAACATGTTTACGGAATAGTTCATTACGAACATCTAACACATTGTAAATATTATTTTATTATCTAAAGTTAGATGCATCAAAATTAGTAATTTAAAATAATTGTAATATATGGCGAATTTTTTTATTTAGAATTTAACGCATCCGATTTTATATAATAAGATAGTTTATATATTACTATAATACTAAATACTATTATATTTTATATATTCTTTTGTTTCTTCAATTTGATTGGTTTATAACTAAACTATATTTAAATTCTAAGATTTTCTTAAAAACATATTCATACAGTTTATAAGGTATAATCGTTACTGTTTCATATATTCTTACATTCTTGATAAAATATGTTGTTATTGGTTATATGGTTTAGTGATTTTCAAATTTCATTCAAAATTCTTTGTTCTTCAAAAAATTTAGATATCATTAATTCTCTAATTCTGTTCAAATCTATTTGTTATTCTTGGGGCAAGAATTCTTCACAATTTATTCATAGAACATAAATTTTAAAATATCATGGATATATAACAGATTTTTAAAATCTATGTAATATAATTTTAAAATATCATGGATATATAACAGATTTTTAAAATCTATGTAATAAAAGACACATACCTTTGATTTTTCTTCAACTAAACATACATACAATAATGATTATATGCAAATCATCTTACAACCCGAATTTTGAGACATAAAACATAAATATAACAATGACATACAAAGAAAAAAATTAGAAAGAAATTACAAATCCCATTAGAAAATTATTTTTCAACTATCCTCAAGACAGGAATCTAATAAAAAATATAGCTAACTTAATAACATACAAAATTGTTTCACTGATATGAATCATGATCATAGAAAAGAAAGTTTTCTTTATAAAAAATATACCTAAAATTGGAAGATAATCTATATATTTCATATGATAAAAATACAAACAAATATCAATTTTGCATACAATAATGAAAAGTTGTTCCTCAAAAGATCTGGAAGCGCAAACTATATCCACCATCTAAGTAAGAGTCAATTTGCAAATTGCTTCCAAAATAAAAATTCTCATTCGTCATTTATATAAATAACCTTTCTCCCCATTCTCAATTCTTCACCACACCACAGTAATCCCTTAATTTACATATTTTATAACATAAAAAAAAAACAAATCCATACGCTTCTGTGTAAACGTGAAAACATTTCATATATTTTTATTGTATCCATTGAAAACCAAAATGGTCTTAATAGTGTCGTATGTGTTTGTGGTTCTAACTATTTTATCCATGGATCTTATGATCTCTCAAGCCACATCCCGTATCACTTTTCAGGAGTCATCCATTGCTAATTACCACCAACAATGGATGATCCAATTTTCTCGAGTTTATAGCGATGAATCCGAGAAACAGTTGAGGTTTGAAGTGTTCAAGAAAAATTTGAAATTCATTGAGAACTTCAATAACAATGGGAATCACACCTATAAGCTTGGTGTCAACGAGTTCACGGATTGGACAAAAGAAGAGTTCCTTGCCACCCACACCGGTCTCAGTGGCATTAACGTAACTTCACATTCTGAAGTGGTTGATGAAACGATGCCATCTTTGAATTGGAACGTACGTAATGTCGTCAGCGAGAGCAAAGACTGGACAAAGGAAGGAGCTGTAACACCTGTGAAATCGCAAGGCGAATGTGGTAAGCTAGCCAGAATTATATACTATAAACAGTCTCTACAGATCAGAGAGAGAGGAAAGGCTGGATCAGTAATATAATGTCATAATTAAATTCCGCATTGCAAAGTTAGGGGTAACATTCTAGGTTTAGGGTTACCAATACATGATTCGTTTCGTGACAAGGAAGTAATCATTATATGGACAGGTAGTTGTTGGGCGTTCTCAGCGATTGCAGCGGTGGAAGGTCTGGCAAAGATTTCCCGAGGAAAGCTCGTATCACTGTCGGAACAGCAGCTTATAGATTGCAATAGACCGGAAAACAAAGGTTGTGAGGGGGGAACAATGGAAAAAGCTTTCAATTACATAGCACAAAGTGGAGGCATTTCTTCAGAACTCGCATACCCTTATAACCAAGTGACAAAGGGGAGTTGCAGGTCCAAAAACAAACCTGTCATGATGCAGATAAGAGGGTTCAAAAATGTTGCATCTAACGATGAGCGTGCGTTGCTCGAGGCCGTATCGAGACAGCCCGTATCCGTGTGCATTGCCGCGAGCGCGGACAGTTTCATCCATTACGCAGGGGGATTGTACAATGCGCCCGACTGTGGGATCTACGTGATTCATGCAGTGACGCTTGTTGGGTACGGGACGAGCCCCGAAGGAATCAAGTATTGGCTAGCTAAAAATTCTTGGGGTCAGACTTGGGGAGAGAATGGTTACATTAGACTCCGTAGAGACGTGGAGTGGCCTCAAGGCATGTGTGGTATAGCTCAGTTTGCTTCATATCCAGTTGTGTGATTAATTCTGTTATCGATGATTTATGTTGAAGTTTGATTAAAATATATATTTAAAATAAATATAAACCATAATTATAAATTTGACAAACAGAAACAAATTCAAAATTTGATGACATCAAAAAATACAAAAAAAGGAATAACGAAACAATAAAACATTTGTATATATATTGGGGGTGCTTACTACTTAGATATGATTTTATCAAAGCTAATTATTTGTGGAACAAAATTGATAAAGATAATCAAAGACTGAGAGACCTATTTTAATCATTAGGATTGTTATTGTATTGTTGTCAAAAAATATAGAAGCATGTATGGTATTGTTGTACATGAATATTTTTTATTAACATTGTTTTGATATCGTTAATGTGTTATCAATTAAGAAAGGGTTAATTGGCAAAATAAATTAGTTTTTTTTTATTTTGCTTAACAAAATACCTTAGTTAAGATTTGAAATTTGAAAAATACACTGGTTTTTATTTTATTTTCAAAACTACACTTATTGATATTTAAAAATAGTATTTTGACCAGATTTTAACAAAAAGATTACATATTTTCATTAATAAAACTAAAATCTACAATTATTAAAATTATAATTTTGGTTTTGAAATTTTTTTTGGCATGCAGATGGAGATTATTACTTTCATCAGCTAAACGAATAGCCTCTCTATATACATGAGTCATCCGGACTATCTAGTCCCTTGATAAGAAGACATAGCACAGCCGTATTAAGAAAGACAGATGGTGAGTATCACCAATCTATTTTGTCGAAAACTCGACCATTATTTTTGATTCTACCTCAATCTCCAATCCACGCACACGCTCCCATGATATGTGAAGTCCATAGTAAACAGTCCAAAGCTTTGCTAATAGGATCGAGCACACGCCAATATTTAACGAGAATCCACCACACCACTGTCCTGCCTCATCTCATAAGACCCCACCAACTATAGCTAGTCTCGGGTTCCCTCGAGACGCACCATCAGTAGTGTTTAGAAACATATTCTTTTTCTTTATTTTTTTTAATTCAGTAGTGTTTTTCATATGTTAAAATTGTCTTGCGCTCATTGTTTTATTCTAAGAATTTTTTTCACTTGTTTTCTATTTTGTATACTTGTAGTACTGTATTTCTTTTTTTTATTCTACTTTCTCAGATTTAATACATTTACACATTGTAATTTTTCGTTCCTGTGTATTTGGTTTGGTCGTGTGTTAGATTTTGGCAATGTGGTCTTTTTGTTGGCCATGGGGGACCTAAAATATTAGATTTTAGTTAAGAAAATTACATAGATAGAAGCTTTATGACTTTCTAATTACACATAAAGGCACTTTGTGCAAAGAGAGCACTTTCATCTATTGAAAAGACAATGTATCCTTCTTCTTTTTTTGTCATATGAATACACCATTGTGGACATACCAACATTTATATCTAGTAATCTCCGTTTATCCATATAGCACATTCACTATGGATAACCAAACTCTTTTTACAATTTGTAAACCAACATGGACATCCACATGGATACACCACCGTGGACATATCAACATGTATACCTTGTTATTTCCGTCTATTCATATGGCAATGTGGTATGTCCACGAGGATGTATCGATGTTCAAGGTAGCGCTCCCATGATATGTAAAGTCCATAGTAAAAACCCCAAATCTTTGTTAATGGGGTCGAGCACATGCCAATATTTAACGAGAACCCACCACACCACTGTTCCACCTCATCTCGTAAGACCCCACAGCTGTAGCTAATCTCGGGTTCCCCCGAGACGCACCATCAGTAGTGTTTATAAACATATTCTTTTGTTTATTTTTTTTAACTCAGTAGTATTTTTCTTATGTTAGAATTGTCATGTGTTCATTGTTTTATTCTAATTAATTTTCTTCACTTTTTCCTATTTTGTAGACTTGTAGTATTATATTTCTTTATTTTCTTCTAGTTTCTCAGATTTAATACATTGTAATTCTTCATTCCAGTGTGTTTGGTTTGGTCGTGTGTTAGATTTTGACAATGTGGTCTTTTTGTTGGCTATGAGGGACAGAAAATATTGGATTATAGTTAAGAAAATTACATAAAAAGACACTTTATAATTTTTTAATTACATATAAAGGCACTTTGTGCAAAGAGAACACTTTCATCTATTGAAAAGATAATTGTATCATTCTTTCTTTTTTGTCATATGGATACACCATTGTGGACATACTAACATTTATATCTTGTTATCTCCGTTTATCCATATAGCACATTCATTATGGACAACCAAACTCTTTTTACAATTTGTAAACCATTGTAGACATCCACATTGATACACCACCGTGGACATACCAACATGTATACCTTGTTGTTTTCGTCTATCCATATGGCACACTCACTATTGATAACTAAAACTCTTATCATGATTTTTAAACTACCTTGAACATCAATACATCCTCGTGGACATACCAACATGTATACCTCATTGTCTCCGTCTATCCATATGTCTAGCACATTCAATATGGAGTACGAAAAACCAAACTCTTATCATGATCCTTTTTTCACTATGGACAACCAAACTCTTATCACAATTTGTTAACCACCGCTGACATCCATATGGATACACCACCGTAGACATACCAACATATATACCTCGTTGTCTCTGTCTATCTATATGACACACTTACTATGGACAACCAAACCTCTTATCATGATTTGTAAACCACCGTAGACATCTATATGAATACACCACCATGGAAATACCAACATCTATATTTCGTTATCTCAGTCTATCCAAACTCGTATTACAATTTGTAAACCACTGCGGACATCCATATGGATACACCACCGTGAAAATACCAACATCTATACCTCTTTATATTCGTCTATCCATATGGCACACTCACTATAGACAATCAAACTCTTTTTTACAATTTGTAAACCATCGCGAACATCCATATGGATACATCACCATAGACATACCAACATGTATACCTTGTTGTCTCTGTCTATCCATATGACACACTAACCGTTGACAACCAAAACTCTTATCACGATTTGTAAACCACCATGAACATCCATATGAATACATTCTTATGGACATCACAACATATATACCTCGTTGTTTCCGTCTATCCATATGTCTAGCACATTCACTATGGAGTATGGACAACCAAACTCTTATCATGATTTGTAAACTTATGTGGACATCCATATGGATACACTCACAATTTCATCATTCACCATGCTAAATGACAAAAAGTGCATATGTTAAAGCACACATTACAAATGCTATATACTATATGTTACCTGCTCTTCTTCGGCAGTCAGTGACAAAATCCGGTAAAAGGAATAACCCTGGGATATTCAAATATGAATCAGCTAAAGAAATTGGGAAACAATCATTCACCTGTTGTCTAAACAGAAGGAGTTTAAAGAGAAAGCTCATCACAAAACAAACATATTTATGTCTTTGGTAAGTGTTATTACCAATTTGAAATGCTCTCCAAAGAACCAACATTTCAACACATAAAAATTAAAACTTTGAAACCACAGATTATAGCAAGGAACTGGTTAAGCTAAAACATATCATACAATCTGGAGTTTTCTAACTTATTAATTGAAATTTGATTTATAAGGAGAGATTTCGAAGCTTATCAAGAACATTTGTTAATGTACCTGGTGAGGTAACTGTAGAACCGAGTATCGAATATGCAAAGTCCGTCCATCGAGCTCTGAACATGCCCGACCACCCAAGGCTTCTAGAGCGGCTTTCGCTGAGAAAGGATCCAAGAAGGAGACGACGATAAGAACGCTGCTCTCGTCTGTCGCATAGACCCCCTTCACTTCCCTGAAGTCACAGAAAACTGCCGTGATCGTGTCGTGTGAAAGTCCAACCGCCGAGCCACATTTCGCGACGTATAGGTTGGAGGAGTTCGGTTCTCCGATGCCGAAGGAAGGCAATGATGTCATCGGACGGACGAATCATGACTGAACCATTCTGTAGCCACTCCTTTTCTCTGACCGACGTTCTGGCGTTGTGGCAAAGCTTTTGTTTAACGGTGCCGTAACTTCGCAATATGTTAATAAACGATGGCGTTTGGCTGTATAATAAGTTCAAATATGTGGGAAATTGCTCATTTAATTCCTCAAGTATTTGCAATCGGAAAATTTATTCTCCAATTATCTTGTGTACAAATTAAATCTCCAACTTAGATTTGACTTCGTAAATTTAGGTATGAAAAAGTCAACACTAACTAAAAACGAAGATATTACTGTTGACTTTATATTTCAGTCCATTTTTGTAAAGTCAACATAAACTTGAGAAATTGATTTGTCAAATTAAAAGTTTCAGAATTAACCTACACAATTACAGAATCTTTAGGAATTAAATGATCATTTTAAAGAATTATTTTATAAAATGTTAAATTTGAAAATAATCAAATTGGCTATAAATAGCTTTATAAATAATAGTAACTTTTATAATCATAGAGCTTTTGTTTTATTTTACAGTTTCACTAAAATAATTTTGATTATTTTTTGCATTGTTTATATGTGAAAGTGTTATGTTTGAGACGAAACCAATATTACAATGTTGTGAGCTTGAGAGATTATAAGATTCAGCCCAAAACTTCCTAGTAATTCAATAAAAAAAGTGTGAAGAAAGCCACTTGCTATTTTATTCCAAATTTAAGACTTTTTAATGTTATGGATAAATTTTAATTATTGTTATTAATAAAACTAAAAATCTATGTATATTTGATTCTGCTATTTTTTTTCCACTCACAAAATTTTATGAGATCAACTGATAACTGCTCTTGTATCATATGGTTATGGCGATGACATTTGAATTTTTGATCCCGAAATCATTGGTATGGTAACTATATTATAAGAAAAAAAAGTTTTTTGAGATCTAATTAGAAATAAGGTTTACAACAGAACTTGCCGTCAAATTCACTTATTTTCATGTATTGTTTTCAGTATATTATAGTAGACTTGAAAATTCTGAGTCAGATTTCACGTTGCTT